CTAGTGTTTGTACACTGCATTCTAATTCGTTCAATTATTCTGTATTATAGTAATATTCTCCTTTAAAACTTCCGTCTGAATTAATAAATCCTCTCTGACCGTTTTTATATCCTCTTTTAATTCTTGTTTACTGTTTTGTATTAAATATTTTATTTCTTCAAATTGTTTGTAAATGATCATATCTGCCATTTGTTAGGATTGTGAGTGAATATCTGTTATTCAATTAAATTAATTTGCAATTGGCAACGTCGCCATATACTTTTATATATATACATAGCCGCTATACTTTTCCAAAACTGGGTCAAATATGTATTGTTATTCTGTGTAACCTATGGTCAAAGTCCAATGCTAATGACCGCGGCGTGGCTTTTTTCAACAAAATTGTATTTTTAAAGATGTTTAATAGATATAAATATGCACTTTTATATTTAAAGAATGAATGCTTACTTGTGTGAACTATCTGTAACACTTTATTCAATTTATCACTAACTTTATTCAATTTATAACTAGGGACCACAAAAAACTCAAAAATTTACTCCACGATTAAAATATTACTTCTACTACACTTCGTGCCAGTGTTGCCATCATAAATGATGCTGCTTTTTGAAGTGTCAAAGCGTCACAATATCATTCACAATATGACATGGCCAGATCTATTATTTTACATCACTTGACGTTTAAAGTCATTGCCTACTGGTTAAAATCAAGAAAAATATACGCTTTAAAACTAAATCTTAAATATCTCAAGAACAATTTATTTTAGGTATAGGAATATGTATAGTTAAAAAGTAACGAATTGAAAAGCCTTTTCACTAGTGAAATAAAAAAAGTGGGTTTACATTTGAAAAAAAATGATTTATCATAATATTTTAATCGCTCAATTCTATGACAGCTGCGGCCATTATTATAAGACATTCGAACAATTTAATTTATGAAATAGATAGCCACATGTTTTCTCTTTATGGCACAGTGTCTGCGGTAATCACTAAATTTGACGTTTAGGCTGTACACATATTTTGGACAGGCAGTTTTTTTCGTTCAAAAATTTTAAATATTTTTTTTCTCAAAAACGGTTAATGTTAGATATAGAGTGTTTAATAACAAAATTCATAAAAATTTACAGAGAATTGAAGTACATAATAAAAAATGGGGGCAGCCATTTAAAAAAAGAAAGTTGCTGTCAACTTTCGGTATTTCCGGAAGTGCCGCCATATTGAAAATATTTTTAATCGATAGATCTCGTTGTGAAACTATGAAGTGCAAGAAATCTCCGAGCTAGATGTTGTAGTTCTCTAGAAACTTCTAATGCACGCTCAGCCTGGGACACCCTGTATATCTAAAGAGACCTCACGCTATAAGGAAAACATTCCATTTAATTAATACTTCAAATCTATATCTCAGTACTCCTAACTAATTAATGCATTCTACGCTTGACTCATCTAGCCGAAAGTAGTTTTAGATGTTAATTATAATTAATATAAATAATATCAATTACTTAAAGCACAAAATATATTTAGATATATAGAGTTTATAAAACTTAAATCTATGACATTAACTATTTTATGTAATACGCAGTTCATAATCACTACCGCATATAAATTGACGTAAAGACTATATCGAAATGGTATTATTTAAGGCACTCGCCCACAAGAGCAACGACACGTGGTCGCTTTACTACACAGCATTTGCACGTGTCTACACTTCACACACGCACGTGTTCCCATGATTTATCGATATCTAAATTTGACCCCACTGTGTGAAAACTTTTTTCAAATTACATAAATATCGTTTTGTTTAGGGATTATTTGTAGCCACAATTATTACAGATAATGTGTTTTTTAATGTAGATTTTTTAAATAAATCATAAGATCAGAAGTCTTAGTTAGGAACCACTTTTTCAAATAAGTTCTTGGTAAAAAAACCTTTTGGCAAAAACTTGAAACTTTGATATGTTAATTTGAAAGCCATAAAAACGAATTATGAAACACTTTTTTAAAT